TCATTCTTTTTATCTTTATTTCCATGCATTTTGTTATTTTCTGTTGCTGACGATGATTAGCTTGAAGGAGGACCAGGTAACCTGATCCACCTTAACCTGGGGCATATTACTGCAGGCAGATTACGACTATATGACCGATTTTAAAATCATCAAATTCCTACCGTCTATGACACATCGTATCACAGATGACTGCTTTGCTTCACACGCAATATAGTCCCTAAAAGTTCGTGCATTGCAGTCTACTATATATTGATCAGTTTTGACCTGTTCGTTTCGCGCTAGATGTGTTCACTGCTACTTCGATGCGTAGTGCGAAATGTTGATTACTATTCAGACGAAACAGTCTGCAAACCAAGACTAGCGTTATTGATCGTTAGTGGCTATCATCATTCACGAAAATCTACCAAGTGTTTCTGGACCCATATCAGTGCACTAAATTCGTTCATCAGGTGTACTGGACTTATGTTTCTCAGAGTTGAGTCATCTTTTCATCGGAACATAAGCAGATTGTGGAACACTGGAATGTAGTCATTGAGGAAACGATGTTCTAGAAACTCTTGAAATCTGATTCTTCTGTTAGTTGACGTCATTTCACAGACAAATTCCTCACGGAAATCGAGGGAGACTGGAAATATCACCATTTCAAAACGCTACCAAGAACACCAGGTGGTGTCGTGAGAAGGTGCGTTTGGCTTTCATCATAAGATTAATTTTGGTATGAAGTGAACAGGTACAACACTGACATCATATCTGGCATTACATTGCATCAAAAGTTATGGAGTCTGAGGTAAGGCTCATATGGTTATTCCTAGTAAAATTTGGCAATGAGCTACGGTAGTTACCAAGCGTTGTGCATAATTTCTGATTCGCCAAATTCGCTCAACAATTAGACACTAATCTAAGCTCATCTTAAAGAAATTTTTGGCTCAATCATTTATCAGTTACTTGGACTGCACTGGAAACAACTTGTGCAAGCTTCTGGACACTTTATTAACCATATGTTTGCGAGATATCTGATTATAGCGGCACATCTTGCAGCTAGTTTAGCATTCACCATACTCAAAAGCCACTGCCCGAATCTTTTACGTTCGATATTGTGCAAATGTGTAGCTATTTAAAACTGTTCTATATTTTTATTTTTATCTTCATCAAAGCGACTGTAGTTATTCTCCTACTCGCCCGGCTCTCGTCCATCCCTTTCCCAACTAACTACCAGACGGAGGCGCAATCATTTGCGCACTCGTAGATAAAGCTGTGATAGATGGCTGCATTGATCTGTTAGGCACACTGCCTTGACGGACAACTTTATACATGTCTCCACAACTTGTAGCCATCCAAGGGCTACGAAGGCTTCCTCAATACTGAGTACTTCGTAAAGGAAAACAGTATGACTCAAGGTCACTTGTTTTACACCCCCTACCGAATCTCCGCACTCATTGCATGTGTGCAATGGAAAGGGCTTCGATCCAGTTATCGGAAAATAACGAGGTATCGTACGTATATCGCTTACGACTACTAGTTACTGACGCATCGCTCGGGTCTTATCATATGTAATATCAATGAACGAATAAGGGATTTTATGGATTTTTCGTGCAATTAGTGGTCTACGGTAATGCGGAAGATATCAAGCCATCAGAGCGCATAAGCTGCTACCACTTTAGTGCATCGCCATGCGTTTTGCTTGCCGCATTGTTCTGATGACATTAGATATGACGAAGGCTGTCAGACAGCTGTTCGGGTGTGATTTGGTTTCAAGAGACGGACTAGTGGTTTGGGCGACATCTCCACCCACATTAATTTGTCACGTGCAAGTAATTGAGAGTCACATGGTACTGTCATTTTCAACCTTGGTCAAGGGATATTCAGCAATTTTAGTCCGCGATTTGGTGTTGCAGCAACTACTTATAGCTGTGGTTGCAACGACAGGGCTATGTACCACAAAATTTATAACAGCATAACCTCATTAAGACAAAGTACGTTGGTTACATCGCTGTCAGTTACCGTTGGCGAGGCTGCACAACGGACCGCGTCAATAGGGAACACTTACCTGAGTTCGGATTATGCGCTCGTGTGTGTTAAGTTCTTTCTGCATTTTGGAGGCAGCCAAAAGCGTCGCCGGAAACGGTTTCACAGACAAGCTCGCCGTTCCAAATGTTCTCGGTGCGTTTCAGAACACGTTGGTCTCCAACCTACGTTCTCTATCCTCCGATGTTGAGTCACACTGGGTACAGATCCAGAGCGCCTTACGAAAGTCCGCTACTCTCCTCTATGTCTTCACTAGACGAGCTGTTAGTCATTGGATCTCCGCCCAGTCTCTCCCATTAAGAGAAAGTCGTCGAACAATTGCCGCCTGAGTCGACAAATTCATTTATCTTAGGAGTTGTCTTAGTATTGGCAGTTTGACAGATGAGATCTCCCTGCGTGTCTCCAAGGCTATAGTCGCTTTCGCTAACTTTCCTCACCTGTGGCTTCGTCGTGACCTCAACCTCGCTCTCAAGGGACAAGTCTATAATGCTACGGTACGAGCCATTCTGCTGTATGGCAATGAGAATTGGCCGTTCGCAAAAGCGATGTTCAGCGCCTATCTGTCTTTGATCACCACTGATTGCGAAGCATTGCTGGTGTGCGATGGTAGCATCATATCGGCGAGTCTTCAGACATAACGCACTCCGCAGATCGACTGATAGCATGATCTCACTGCGGAGGCTTGGCTGGTTTGGCCATTTGCTTCACATGCCAACCCAGCGGCTACCACGATGAGCCCCATTTGTGAGCACAGGCGTGGCTTGGCAGCGATGAAGAGGGCAATGTAAAAATTGGATTCAGTGCATTAAGGTGCAAACGTTGAAACTGGCTGTTGTCGGGTATTCCCGACTCCCAGGTTGGAGCCTAAATGACCCCGAACACACCCGGTTGCAATCGCTGGAGGATATGGCCAAGGAGCGTACGGAACGGTGCACTTGCTGTGAGACTCTTCTACCCTAACAGATGTTTTCCCTTTCACGCTATCCTTCTTTCTTCTTATGTCTTGTGGCACTCAGCCAATTATATTGTAATTGGCATAGTGTTGGAAATATATATATGTATACATATATATATATATGTATATATATATATGTATATATATATATATATATATATATATATATATCATCGCTGAGAATGTATAAGCTTTGTAAGTGAAGATCAGGTTCAATCAGTCAAATGTAACCATACCGGAAACCAAAAGTAGCATACTATGCGGGCCAGTCGAATGTCAATTTTAAGACGGGATCACGGTGTGCCAAATGTAGCAAATAAACTAAAGGATAAGATGAACGATCGCGAGTGGCCACTGGTTCCAATATCCTAATGGCCGATTGGCCGAACTTCCTGTTTTCTGATTGGCTCATCAGCCACGTTTTCATTGGTCCAGTGGAAACACTGTGCACCGCATGAATGATCCCAGTTGATGACCCAGTGAACATCAGGCGCCGTAAAGCAATACGGTCGGAGTTACTCCGCGTCTGGTGTGGCTCCTGCTCAATTTCATACGGATCCTTAGTACCCTTCCGAGCCATCATGCTCGCCAGTGTAGCAAAAGAACATAGACTATTTCACAACATTAACTCGAAGTTATTGGAGGTAAGTCCTGCTCATCGTTTAATATAGCCCCAAATCATCGCTACCCCACATGCAATCATGAAATAATCTTTTTCACTTTTTGTTTTAAGTATTATTTTAGTCCAACCGAATTATCATGATTCGCATGTTGCATCCTAAACTGCTCTCTTGACTAAATAAACTTAGTTATTAAGCCCGCGCGTATATATGGTGAGACGCGAAAGCATCTGCAGTCACGAAGATGATTAAGTTCCCACTTCTTGTAATTCCTCAGCATTAGAGTGTTTAACTCCCCCAGACTGATTTTGGTATATACATGTTCAGAAATTCGTTCCGGTAAGCTACCAGCCGTCTAATATGCAGCAGAAAGATTTACTATGCAAAATTATTTAAGGCTATTAGTGGGAAGGTAGATGGGGAGGCTAAGAGGGATGAGACGGACAAAAACTCACATCACGAACGCCACTGAGGTCGGCTCCTAGCTATATCAACAGTGAGCCGAGAAAATCCAACCGAGGCCAGCTCCGAAGTGATCGCCTTCATTCATCTGGACCAAGTCATCGCTTGGCCACCCCCCTTCCTCTTCCATCCACACCCCCGGTGCGCAAACAACGCACGTCGCGGGAGTCGGTGGGCTGGCATGCGTAACATGTGACCCAGCCATCAGAGCCTGGTGCGTGAACTAACGGTGCTGAGCAGTTGATTTCCTTTTCCTGTTCCGTAGCCAAGGGGTCGAACACGCTCGTTGCTAACTAGGTGTTCCCACCAGATGTGAGCTAAACGGCGAAAACACCACCGGTAGAAAATCACTAGCCTCTTTATATCCACTGGGCCAGGTTTCACAACCGTGCAGTAGGGTCGAAAGTACCGCTGCATTGGACACTATCAAACAGCACATTCAGATTCAGTTGGACGGTAGTGGACAAGAGTCATCTACAGCTGTCAACAATCGTAACTCACGCTTCTGATTTAGGCAGCCAGTTCGTGAAAGCATTCTCGTGTTTTAGCACCAAGCATGTTCCTGAGGAGCTGTGAGTCACTGACTTGTCACAGCAACGTAAAACATTCGTGAGGGCAAGGCTATCCTCTTGAATTTACTATTCACCTGTCTACTGTAAGCTGATCTGTCTATACGCCGCATACGTACCTTATTTTCCGCAGTTATGCCGCACCTAAAATTGAAATTTATCCACTACCTTTTATGTTTGATAAACATGAACCGTTTCAATTGTCGGTGAGCAATGCCGTTTAATAATTATCAGACAACAGGGGCGAGCTTTTAACTAATTTATCACTGAATTTGTCAGAATAAGATATAGCGCTATCGGTTTAATCATATTGTCTGATTACTTCTGGTTTTACAACTGCATCCATACTAACCTCTATTTCATGTATAGGATTGTGCATCTACCTCGATACGTGCCAGTCCAAAGTCCCCTGCACCTCCGCCTCATTCCCCGGTTCAATTGAGTTGCGGCTTTGAGTTTGATGATTCGGTTAACGATCCTGACGCCGATCTTGTTACTTTGTTGGCTAATGAACCTATCACTGGATGTGTTGTAAGGATGCAAAGATATTCAAGAGATTACGGAAACCCTGCATTGGTGAATAAGCGCAGCAGTCTTTCTATAGGTAAGTTGGCAACCGTCTGGGGGGGTGAATTGTGGCCGATTGGTTGTGGCATTTGTTGAATCGTGTTCTAGTTGCAGGCGTTGCTCTGCACAATTTTAAGGTATTACTTAGTTCCCATGTTATCTCTAGTCCAGTAACCTGCCACTATTTCTTGCACGCGTTCTAGAGCCATGAGGCCGTCACACTGCTGCTGAATCATACTACTGAGAGCTACCCTATTATCGATCCATGCAGTCACGATACTTACTTTGTTTATCCAATCGCCACATTATTCTACACGTTTTATTCCAGGGGATTCATCCAACTTCGCACTCCCGGTGGCTACGTACTCCACTTTCAAGTGTCCACACTCTACCTCTTGTGATTATTCACGTTCTCCACCCTCGACGTTGATGCGATCATATGATACCGTTAGTCGGAACGGGGACGAGTATCTTTGCATGCTGTACGAAAGGCACGCCCAAGTCACCTCGGAAATGGACACATTGAAAGCTGAATTATTGCAACTAATGCGAGAAGAATGGGTATGTTTTATACGTAGCTGGACAAATTGTTTTGCCTCGGTTTTGCTCCGGGTAGCGTACCAGCGCTCACTCGGACCTTAATAGGAATGTGTTGGGCAGAGCTTTAAACTGTGAAGGGAAATGCTTTGTATTTGCAAACCACTGGATCCAAACTACGACGGTGCCGTATCCTCCAGTGACTGAGTGGTAGCAAATTTTCTAGGATACTCCGGAAGATCGTAGATTAGATCAGTGATGACTCTGCTAGTATACAAATTTAATAGTCATCGTGTCTTGCTGTGTGAACTTCACTTGGGTACATGTGCACGTGATAAGACTTCTGATCATGCTTTTCAGACACTCACCGGTGTCGTCCCTGATGGCTACGAGGCCCTGCAATCGCAAGTGCAGCGCTGCACTCAACCCATCAAAAATACTTCTTTTAGGTTGCCGCGTTCTGTGCTTCAGCGGGCTAGCACAATCGCAGCCTGCAGACAGCGACCCGCGTTGAAACGTTGCAGTCAAACTTCGGTAAGTCCCCTTTGGATTGCTTCCAATACAGCATGTTTTATACCGCAATTATCAATTCTGTCTCTACCGCTTGAGTTATTCGTTTATGATGTGAAATCTTCGCTTTTTCACATGGCGTATAGCTTGACCTTTTAAGCACCAGTGGCGTCAAACTATCTCGATCAGTTGATCTGCAAAGTCTTGGCGAGGTTACTTATAGTCAACTTTGTCATTTCGCCAAAGCATGCAAGCTACACTTTGTCTGTGCACATCCACTTTTCAGGTTCCCGATTCCACTAGCTACAGGCCACCTGAATTGGTACCTCGACCACTGGACCAGCCAAATGCAACAGCTCTACCTGATAGACACGGCGATGAAGCTAAGTTCTTCACCCCCTTATCGTCAGAAGTCCTCGTTGACCCCAACACTGTTGCACCACATCCAGTGAACCAAACACCGCATCATCAGTCCTTTTCTCCAGACGCTTTTCCCGTATCCAGTGACGTGCAAGCAGATTCGTCAACTGCGTCAGCAGTCTGTCAAAACGTGACATCAATCAGTCCTGGTGCAATGGGCGTTACGAACATCACACATTCGGAGTACGGTTTCACAAAATCAAACAGCAATTTCGATCCTCGCCTGAGCTTGTTCGAGGAGGAAATATCTATCGAGCGGGCTGCCGCGGAATTACACCTAAGACGACTGGAAGTTGATCATGCGGTTATTTCACATCTACACAGAGTACACAAACAACGAGCAGCTGAAACAAAACGGGAAGCATACAAAATTGCCTACAGAACTAACTATCAGAAGGTAAGCATTTCTTTGGATATCACACACAAGGGACAGATATTCTAGACAGTCAGTGACGTAACCATTTGGTATATGGCGCCTTGGCAAAAGTAGTTTTGGTCCATTTAACTACCTCAAGTCGTATGACCCACATTTCATGCCCCCAAATAATCGTCAATTTTGAACGATTCAGGAATTTACCAAGTTGCTCCAAATCGCAGCTCGCCACGATAGCTAAATTATTCTCCATTTTTCAGCTGAGGGAAATTGAAGAGCAAATGAAACAACTTCGGGCGGAACTGGACCAAAGCCCTACCTCAAACGTTCCCGAAAATGGGATCAGTTCATCTAACTGTGCGTTCCGCACAAGGAAAACCTGGAAACCTCTATGCAACAGGGCAAAGAATTGGGCATTGGCTACTCTGCCCAGGCGTTCGTCCACTTGTCTTTCCCCAGCAAAGTCAAACTATCGTTCTTGGGACACTGTGTCTTCGCCTTGCAGCCCCAATGTTCGAACTGCAAGCATGCGCTATGTTCCTCAACCACCACCAAGTTTAGTTTCCGGATCGATATCTTTATCCACCTCAGGAACCAGTAGTATCGTTTCAAGTGGCATAGCAGAGTCAATAGAAGATCAGCCTTACCCAATCAGAGCTCCAAGACGTCGTCGACAGTCCCTGCTGCCGCTGCTCCGGATTTTTAAACACTCAAAGCATACTTCATCGGCGAGTGAGAGAGTTGATGAAGCATGCACAACTTTTGATCTCCAGTTGGTATCGGAACTACCACACCATGCCGGATCAACTAGTTGCTGGAAGACGGATCATGGTGGGAGCTTACACTGTGCATCAGAACAACAAAGAGTTGCAACAACCGAAAGAAATTTGTTCTCATCCTCTCAACAGACTCAAAACTGCATTGGACAGACAAGGAAAGGCGATGAACCCGGGGGATTGTGTCACTCACAGTTTAACGATACAAAGGTAAGCACTTTATGTGCTGCTCTTATCTGTACTTCAAGAAGTCGTTATGGTATTAGTTAAAAACTGGACATCAATGATCGAATTGTCCAAGGTTCGCTTCAGTGGACCTCGCGCTCCATAAACATAGATTTTTGGGAAATTCACACATTACACAAATTCGCCGGGACTGGACAAATGTCCTGGCGCATTATTGAAACAGTAATTATATAAAACGCAGGTGACGGTCAGGATGGCTCGGGAACGTGTGACTGCATGTGTTTATTGTGAGATGTTCTGTTACCTTGCACCCTGCATGTAGGTATCGTACACTTTAAGGGATCCCCTCATGTTAGACTCACACAACTCGATATGTTAAGTTTGGTAAGCTTCTGTGTTGAATGTGCTTGGCGGAGACTGGGTATATATGACCCCGGTTGTTGATGCTTGTCGGATGGTGTACGATTCTAAATGCTGTGGGAAATTCCGAGCGCACAAAGGGTGCTGGGGCTTCCGCATGAGCATCTACAATGTAGTTGCCAAAGTTAGTTGCTAGCTGCGGGTCATTCTATAGGTTTCATTGTCATTGTCATGTTTATTACATTTGCTGTGTGCTTGCCATCGATTAAATTCGGCTTGTTGTACGTTGATACCACAGGTAGGCTGGGCTCCGGGTTTATGTTTACTCCTTTTCGGCGAACGGGTTTGGTTAGTTGCTTCCTGATATTGTTGTAACACGCAGGGAGCGTCATGGGTTAGTACGCAAGACTGCCAGACTTGGAAAAGCGTTTCGTTTTGTCCGCAATCTCCTCGACATTGAAGCTCGGTTGGGTCTGGAAGCGATCGTACCCTGGAGTATCGAGTTTTTGTCGACAACGCACTGCTCGAAGTTCGGTCTTACTAAGATTACGCGGCGGAGTATATGCAGACAACCAGTGTTTCAAAATGACTTTCCAGTTATCCTGCACTTGATCATTCAATTTCTATAACATTTTGGTTTTCCTTTTACAGCCGAACTATTCATCTGGTGGCATTTTCGATGTGAAACAGCTTCATTTACCTTCTTACTCGCACGAAAGATGTGGCAGACTTAGGTACTCGACTTCCGCGTCAAGTGTTATCGAGCGTAATCAGTTCGGCTGGACTGCTTTTGATCACACGCGACATGAAGTTGCGAGGACATGGTCTCTTCCCATACTTAGCCCCTTGAATGATAGCGGGGAAATCCATATCCATGGATATGGTGATACTTTCCGTCTGGGCTCTAGAACTATCGGGGACGCATATTCCAGCAAAGCTTTTAGACAATGGAGGTAAGTACATACTGTGTATTTTAACGACATCTTACTATTTTCGTCAGTCAAGGCAGACATTAGTTAATTCCTGATAAATATAGCCTAGTACGGTTTACACGAGAACGCTTCTTGTAAAAATCATATCACCCATGCAATTACTGCGTTTCTTTCTACAACTTTCACTTGATGTCCATTGTTGTTGACCTTTCACATATATTGTTAATTCCCTTACTTTGTTTCAGTCTTAAAGAGAAAACGACATCGTTTAAACCAATTTGGGCGTCAGATCCTCCGAATTCGCCGATTTCCATCTCGTCTGTACAACATCTCACCTCAGTCGTAGCAGCAAGAAAGGACACACCAACTCATGTAACATCACAGGATCCCAAAAACGTTTCCCCCAGTTGGTCGACCTCCGGATGTTCATGCATGTCATCGCAAACTGCTGGCTCGACTTCCCCTTGTGATTCCGGATGTTTCGCATCTTCAAAGGCGACGGATTCCGCGATTGGGCTTTATTCTTGTCAGTCACTGAAGAGCGACACACCTACGGCCGCATTCCAGTCCGTCCCGTCAGCTTCACGGTGTCCTTCGTCAGGCTTACCGGTGAAACTTCGTGAGCCCTGTGATCGAGGTCGACGTGTGGTCACATGCGACCGGGGCGCATCGTCAACGACTGAGTCGGAAGCATTTGGGTCCACGTTCCATGTGAAGTGCATTTGCAGTTGCATTTCTGAACTCTTAATTCCTGAGGGCAACTCTCATAGTTGCCATAAAAATACCTTACCTAATGGGACTACTACGTATCCAATACTGAATTCCCCAGATATGCAGCATGACATTGTTCCATCAAACAATTATGCTGTGCCTGACAAAGCGCATACTGGTTCTTCTGGTTCCTGTGATGTTACCTTAATTCGTTCTCCACTTGCGACTGCGTCCTCAATTTCTAGCGTCACTGATGCTTCGCCCATTTCATGTACAGATCAGAAACTTCATGGCATCAGTTCTCGGAATAAGCATGAAACTACTCCCAGTAGAAAAAGATCGACTTCGGATTCCAAGTCGGTTTCATTCTTTCGACGTGCAGTGACTCGTATTGCATCCACTAGAGACTCCATGCGATGTCATGACTTCTCATCATCCAGTTTGTACAGGCGACGACGATTCACAGGACCCCGAGTTGTGCCATCTCTGCTCACCAGAAAACATTCGGAATTCAGGGAATTTTTTAAACTAGGTCGCCATGAATATGAAACAGATGGAAATCATCCCAGTCAAAATGTCCCCGCGCACTCACTTCTAAACACACCCGTAACCTCAAACGCTTTATCGCCAAAGTGTGCACGGGTTGGGAGCATACGATTTTCTGCCCGTTACTCACGTCGAAAGTGAGCAGTGCTTGTTTTTATCATTTAACTTGATCAAACTGTGATCCCACGGTGACTTGGCGTTTTTGTTAAATTTATTTCTGCTAAATTTTTAAGATGTCGTGTAAATACCGATCCATTCATGGGGACATCGAGAGAGATCAGAGACACGCGTTGGTATTGTACACAGATATCAGTCACCAACTTGCCTATTTCATGAGAGTTGTATCTATCGGTTATTTCAGTTTCCTCAGTTGCACAGTTCTTTCAGCGTTGAAGATGGCATTTCTGTATTTCTTCGATATACTGTATTTGACAACAGATATCAGAGTTAGTATAATTTTTTGTTACCCTCAGGGTTCTTATATTTAATTTCTTAACCAGTACGGATCTTGTACACGGCTGCTATTTGGCTTGGATGTAGATATCCTGACACTTTGAAGTAATTCAAGTGATAATCGATCACAGACCCGTACGCCTCTAATTGCTGTCCGCACTGTGCTACTCTAAACATTTTCTCTTAGCAAACTTGACGAAAGCAAAATGGAGTTTTAATGTGGTACGTCAGGTCCTGTACCTTCCTCACAAGTTTCCAATCCTCAATGAGAATTGTACGACATCAGGAGTTAACTGTCGTCCATAATTTGCTTAAAAATCCACCAATGTTTTCACTTTACTGACTATCATATTCGCGGCTCTACTAATGTTGCTAAACAGATATAGCTTCAGTTTAGGCTTTTAGTCCTTTCTAAGCGCTAGCAACCTGACGAATAGGTTCCGCCATCCTTCCAACCTAATACCACTGACCATACACCAGAACTAGTTTGGTGTTTTATCAGTGGTTTTAAAAACAGGCTCCATTTTTGAAGCATGTCAGCGGACAACACATTAAGATTAGTTGGACTCCTTTAGCGGCACGCAATCCTGGGGATTCCATGGCCGTTGTATAGAAGGTTCAGTTTCTATGATCCAGGCTGAATTCTGCACTTGGGGCTAGGAAACTGAATTGCGCTTATTCATAAGAAAGACCGGTGCGTGGTCTAAATCGCGCATCATTATGCGAGATTATTTAGTGATATAAATGAATTGTCATAATGTGACCTGAGTAATCAGTGCGTGTGGGCATGTCTTACGACCGTCCCTTGATAGTTTTCCGCAACACTAGGATTTGGTGGTTAACCCAAAGGATATGGGCAGTTAAAGAAAAGCTATATTTCCTCGTCCTAGGGTTTTTCACTGAAGTCGTGATATTTGCAAAGTAGTAAACTCGGCTCGTTTAGGGATCGACCAAAAGCCCTTTCGCTGAAACTGTTTCAATTGCCTCTGTTCCCCGGTGCGGCTACCCTCGCAATGCACTTTTAACCGGCCTACATGGGTAAGTTGCTTGGTTCCACCTGGCTTTTGTATGGTTATGTCATCCAGGGTTGCCCGCTTCCCACTTGACCTTTAATCGCCTTTGGTACATGGCGTGCGCCGCATGGGTTGAGGTGCTTTTCACAAGCGATGACGACGGGTTTCGATTACAAGGCTAATGAATGACCCCAATTAACCGACGGTGTCCGCCAGATCAATCTCCTGGACCACACTCTAGGCAGCGGCTAGAACTAATCGTTTTCGTCTACACCAGGTGTCATGAAAACTGGACTGGTGATTAAGGTCATGTTATCCACACTCATCCAGTGGATTCTGATGTATTGCGTCTGATCGAACGAATTTCTGACTATACGCACTGGTTTTTCCTTTGGGCTTTTTTAAATAATTTTTTAACTCCTTGCTTACCCCATTTACTGCATCAAAGCACCGCAGTTTAGTATTAATTTGAAGCAGTGAGTGGTAGTCAGAGGTTTTTGGTAGCTCCTTTAACCGACGTGGGACCATATGCACTGAGCCGTTTTAGCACTGTCCACCCGTGTAAGTAAAGCGTATCCTTCCGTATGCTCGCTTTGTTTTCGAACCACGGCTGGGGCATGAACTTACTCGCGGACACACATCGTGTTTGGGGTTGTAAAAGTGTTCAATTTATCTTTGCTCTTGTGTCCAGCAAGTGCTGCAGACTTTGTTTACATCGTGTACAGCGCCGCTGTCGCGGTTTACGCTTACGCCCCCTTCCACAATGTTGTGGGCTTTCAAAGGGTTTTCACTGTTCCCCCTTCATCTTTGGAGTAACGTGAACATGTCTGTCGCAGGTGCAGCATGGGCAAGTTGGTTTATAGGAAAACAATGCCCACTTGTCACACATACATCTGAGGACATTACAGTCTGAAACTTTTCCTTAGTTTACCGATCGGGGTGTGCGAACCTTCACGATGTTGGATCACAGGCGAATTATAACGAGTTTCGCAGAAATCACTAGGACAAATAATGAAGTGATAGGCGGTTTTGCTAGAGGTGTATTTATTTGTACAGCTATCCTTTGGGAAATGCATACACCTATTCTATTCGCTACATAACAAGCTGTCTATTAGTAACCGTTCCTGGGTACCCATTAAGATTGTCACAATTGTTCGTGTGCTGTTGTGCCCTCTGTAGTGTGAAGCCGTACACACTGATTTTTCGCCGCCGAAAACAAGCTACCAATCTGGTGACGGTTGAACTGTTTACTCAGCTTGCCATTTTGTTGCATAGGTTTCATCAGCAATAGAGGTGACATCGTCATCAAGGCGTTGTTGCGCAGCGCATAGTAGCGTGGCGTAGGGAAGACTCACCGAGGCTGTTTCACGCTATGCTACTACAGTCCGCCATCTGAACGACCTCAGCTAGCAGTTTTCGTTTCCCTATTAAAGGTTACGGCTTCGTTTTCTGGACTCTAGTGATCACGATTTCACGCAAATCGGTGACAATACAGTTTACTGATTTGACGCGATAGTCTATAAGTTGTATCCACCACACTTATGCAGGTCGGCCATAAACTGTTTTATTGGAATGCTCGGGCAATTGCCACTATGAATCAATTAGTTTCACTTTACAAATCGGGTGAACTTAGATTACCCACTGGAGACCCGAGTACAGGTGGGCCACCAGTTTCTATCCTCCATTTTGTAGTTGACGATTCCTGTATTACAAGCGCTAGATAACAAGTGTAACTGTTCCCATTTTTAACTTTCTTTAGCAAATTTTGCGTTGGTTTTCCACATTGATTGTTTTTGTCAATGAATGATCGGGGCTTATCCAGGCACTATGAATCGTTCAAAGCAACCCTATAACACCAACTATAGTCTATGTTAGTAACCTGCATGATCGCCTGCTTCCTCAGCCATACAAACGGTATATACAAGTGCATAGGTAAATTGTCGTTGTCGCTGATTCTATGATTTTATCAGTTGCTAGATCAAGCGGAGTGATTTTTGAATTACTTCGATATGTTACGAATTATGATATTTCTTTTTGGCGAGGCTGTGAATCTCTATGAAGATGTGTTTTTCAAATGCTCTTAAGCTTGTGCCAAGAAAAGTAATCTTGTGATGCCTAAGATTTCAGCTACGTGATCACTAGGCAGAGATTTACATAGGCTTCACTTTCTATAGTGATCGATTTTCTTCCTTCAAGGTAATACAGCCTGGAATTCATCGTTTTAACGAACCAAATGCTGGTGTATTGGGCAAAGCTGACTGACCTCTGTCTCTTAAGATGATTTTCGGTTTCAAGGACATTGGCTCAGCCGGCGGATGTTTGTTATCAGTGGAAAGTACATAGTTCAGCGTCCTTACAACGTGCTCGGTTCATCGACCGTTCTGTTCCGGCACTATCCAGTGCGTCAGCATTCAGCCTAACAGATTAGTCAACCGGACGGCTCATTCGATTACGATACCAAATCAGTTGGTTGCGTCAATTCACACGCCGTTGTGCGTGTCATCAATGCAAGAACCGATGCACACGTGGATTGTTTACATGAGCTGTTTCAGTTTCCGACTTCCGTCTCACCTACCGCATAGCGCAATGGTGGTGTGCTATGTACCGGGCGAAATGGATAAGACATCACCAATCGACCATAACTCGGCCTAAACCAAATGTTTAGACGATGTAGGTGTTAGTAGGTTCTTTCAGCATGTGGTTTCCGAACGAGCTTGTGTCACTCTGCACTGAAAATTGGCTTTAACTTCTACAGATCTAAGACGAACTGGATGTCAGCCATTGACGCATTATCGTAAAGCATTCAACGCCAAATGGGAATATCTCCATTCATATTTTGTTCCTTAATAAGCTTAGCTAGAAAGGAATCGGGAACATTGACTCTAGCATCACTGAATGTCTGACTCAATCTTAACGCTGACCAGCTGATGGATAGAACTGCATACCGCTTAGAACCTACCTACTGGTTTTAACTACAGTCCAACCTATTTTGATGACCAGCCAAGAACATCCCAATGTTTTCTCCCGTGAGCAATGCCCAAATGCATAAGTCTGTCTATAGTGACCGCCTGACCAAGGCGACAACATTTTGTCGATCCCTTGTGTGGTCGCCTTAGACGGGTTCGACTGTAACACCAGGACTTTGGGGGTGCTGGCTGAAAGGCGAATGATCAGACCTCTTGCTTTATTGGTCCTTAAACTTTAACAGAAAGTTTGTTATCGCGTGTTATCTTTCATAAGATACAATATAGTGTACGTTGTCCTTGATGCTTCCATGAATGAAGTGATACTACTTGTCATTTGGTATCGACTTGACCCATTACCTTTCTTCCTTGTGCAGTTTCAACTGCATTTGAAGCACCTACAAGTATTTCTGTTTACCATAAATGTATACTTATTTTTCCATAGTCTGCATAAAAAAGGGGTCATAAAGCCTTGGAAATCGTGGGAAGATAGCTACTGTACAAACAAAATCGAACAAAAAGTGCATAGTTGATTGGTACTCCAGTACACTGGTTACTTAAGCCGTGGTAACGACTTCATCGGGGATTCTTTGGCTCGCAACACAGCACATCGAAGCCAGGGAATCTCGAAGTATGGGAGAATATGTCCGAATATTCAATTCATACGCCTTTTGTTTGATCGGTTGGCCAACAGGGACCTAATCCTTT